CTTCCTGACTATTATGTTTGACTACCTCAGGCCCTGCAGTGTGGACAACCTTCTCCTCCTTTCTTCTCCATTCTATAGCAGGTACTTTTTGTAACATCCCAAAATTTGGAACCCTAGTAATGGGAGTGTGAAAAATGAGATATGATTGATAAGCATAAGGTATGAGTAAAGCATGAAAACCCAAAATGGGACGAAACCGACTTTATCGGGTCCCTAGGGGCAAAACGGTAATTTTGAAAAAAGTTTCCAAAAATTACCTAAAAATAGCAAAAAATGGAATTAGAGGTTTTTGAGTCACACATGATGTTTTGGGAGTGAGAATAGCCCAAAATAAATTTTGGTGAAAATTCCCAAAAAAATTAATTATTTTAGGAAAATAGGAAAAAATAAAGGGAAATTAAAGTGATAAAATTATTTTAATTACCTAAGGACCCCAAAAATCCAAGGAAAAATATGGATACACTCCCTAAGAATATATATAAGTTTATAAAATTGTTTCCAAGTATTGGAAATGTAGGAAATAATTTATGGGGAATTTATTTCCGAATTCTTATCTGTAAGGACCTGATTTCGGAGAAAATGTGAAATAAATATCTAGAGGTCTTGAAAAATTCCCAAAACTTCCAGATCACACTCTTGGAATAAATAGGGAATTATCATGAAAAGAAATGGAATTTTTGAAGCCCCTAGCTATTTTTCCTAGTAGAGGGCAAGAAATCGGGTATTATGAGACCGAATGAATTTTTAAATTACCTTAACTAATTCCATTACTTCCTAACCAGTTTTTAACATTTAGTTAGCATCCAACAAGGCCCAAATTCGTGCTCACCATGATCAGAACAGCTGGCTTGTGTGCTGGGCAAATTTTCAACCATTGGATCAACTCTCTTGGAAAGTGAGTCAAAGAATGTGTGGCTAGGAATTGTTCTTCATTTTGGCCGACCTTTGCACTTATTTTGGGGCAGAAATAGATGCCCAAGGGTAGGTTTTTGGGCAGTAAATGAGGTCTATAAATACCCCCACAAGGCACTCAAAATTCGGACAAAATTGGAACAATAGAGAGGAGGTTCTGCACAATTTTCTTCTTGGCTTCCAAGCACTCTTCAAATCACTCCCAATCCAAGGTTAATCATCAAGCTTTAATCCAACACTCCTTGAGGTATTTTTAGGCTTTAATTTGATGCTTTTTCCATGGTCAAACCGTGACTTAATTTGAGGGGGAAGTGCTGTTTCATTTCTGTTGTGCTGGAAGTGCTAGGAAAGGATAGCAAATTGAGTATGAGTTGTGTTGTTGATGTTTGGTGCGGTTTTGAATGGGTTATGGAAGAAATTACCCTATGAACTATGACTTTTCAGTTCAGCCAACTCAAGAACTCAAGGGTAGGAATTGTTTCAATAAGTTTTAATGATTTCAATGGATTTAAAATGTGATGGTATGTAGGATTATGCTAAGGAAGTATGTTCAAATTCATTGGAATCAAATATGAAAATTTATGAACCTAAGAGGAAGTGTTCAACCATCTTGAATATATGGACTTATGATTGGATTTTGATGTTTTTGATGCTTCCATTGAACTCCTTGGGCGTTTTTGTGTAGGGTTATATGGAGAAATTGAATTTGGAAGCATTAAAATCAAAGTTGGAAATTTTGACATCTCCCTTATGAAATTCGTTTCTGTTTTGACCAGAACTTAAGGAAGGGATAAGATTTTGTAAAATTTGATTTGATATTTGAATTCTACATGAAAAACCATGTAGGAATGGCCAAGGAAGTTTCTTGAATCAAAAGGAAAACAATTAGGCCAAAAATCCTAAGAAAAACGGTTTAATGTTTAAGTAATAGGGAATGTGTTTGAATAATTGTTGAATGATTGGCATTGGTGTTGGTTTGATAGGTACCTTGTCAAATCCTCAAGAAAACATCTTGAACTTAAAGGAAATCAAGGACCAAGTACCAAAAGGTAGCATTGAATTACATTTGATTGCTTTCTTGCCTACATTGATGTGTTAATGTGTATGTGTGCAATGTGTGCCATGATGTGACTAAGCTTTATTGCAAATGTTGATTGCAATGTTTGAAGTATGTTTCCTTGGCATTATGTCCATTGAATATGTGTATGATAGCTTACTTTCCATGGCATAAAAGCATGAACATATAAACAAGATAAATGCACAAAAGCATTGCACGTAGTGTTTGCAGGAATGCATGATAATTGTGATTCTGTGCTACTGGGATTTCTTTGAAATCTCACTCTTATGTTCAACACCACCTAGGAGGGATTTCAAGCAAGGGAAAAGGCAAGGAAATTGTCTCGGAGACCTAATGAACAATTAATGTACCCTAGTGTAAATTTTGAAACTTGTGATGTAATATTATGACTCTGGAAATGTTTGTTGGATAATAGCTCCTAAGGGGAGTCAAGCATGTATGTCTATGTTTAAATATATGAAAGCATAGTAGAATGTATGTTCAAGCTTGTATTAAGCCCCAAATGATTAAGGATGGGTAAAAGGTTATGAATGAGCCAAAACAAAGGTAATTAGGGGATAACATTTGACTAAAAAGGACCAAACTTGGTGCATACGAAATAAATAGCAAATGTTCGAATATGGATTTGAAATTTGGCATACTAATAGATCACATTTTTAGCTTTGAATCAAGTGGTAGATCATTAAATTTGAAATTTTGTAGAAAGAGTTATGCCCTTTCGAAGTTGGATAAAAATACTGGAAATTTCAGAATTTACCAAATGAATAGTACATAATTGCGTGGAAACTAGCATTGATCTGTGAGAAATTGATACCTGTGAACATTTTTCCCATGTGGAACATTTTATAAGCTTCACGTGAAACTTAGAACCACTTTGTTCCGATTTTTCTACATTTAGTTATGATTTTTCAAAGTTGACCTGATTTTTTTTTAAGGGTTACATGAATAGTAACCAAAATCAAAATTTTAAATCTTGGTTTTTACCTACTTTGAGCATCGGGTAATGATTCCAAATGGTTCTAAAGGGCATATAATGGGGTTAAAATGAAGGTGTGACACTTTTTTTTTTGCTTTGCTCTTTTTTTCCAGATAATGGGATTGAAGTTTCCATATGCTGCAAAATGTCAAATCTAGTGCCAGAGGTTTTTTTCTTTTCTTTTGCTACTGATTCGCTACTCCCTACTCCCTTTCCTTTCTATTTTCTTTCTTCATTTTCAGCCTTTTGACTTCTTGGCCGAAAAGTGTGTTTTGCCTTCATCCAAGAGCTGTACATCTCATTTGATGTGACACCTGGCACACTAAACATGGGCTGTTTCTCTATCTGAGTTTCTGTCATTTTCTGTGATTGCTATACCGGTGAAGAAATCTCCGGTGATGGCTTGCTTCCAGCTTTGTTTAGAGGGCAGTCCTCTTGGTTATGGCCATACATGCCACATTTGAAGTAGATAATGTTGAGACCCTTATACTCCACTATGTAAATCCTCTTCCTGAGCACAAACTTGGATTGAAGTTGTTTACTTAAATCAATCTCCATGCTAACTCACGCAAATTTCCCTCTTTCTACTGCCATATTGTTGTTACAGTGGGCTAAGGTGTTCAGATCAACCTTAAGGGCCTTTCCAATCATATTTCCCAACTCCAAGAGGCATTCTTCTGAGTACGTGTACATTGGTAGGGTCAGTATTCTAACCTATATTACAAGCTTTCCAATCTTGTTAAAGTATGGATTAATATTCGGGCTCCAGCGTTGTACTACTAGGTAGTGACCCTGAATAAGCCAAGGGCCATCAAATGAAAGTCTCCTCTTGAACTCCACATTCACTTTTCAGAAAACATAATATCCATTAGGTAGATCAACCAATTCAAAATTATCTGATTTTAGTAGCCATCCAACTCGATCTTTCTGTGATTGCTCTGCCGGTGAAGAAATCTCCAATGATGGCTTGCTTCCAGCTTTGTTTAGAGGGCAGTCCTCTTGGTTATGGCCATACATGCCATATTTGATACAGATAATGTTGAGACCCTCATTCCTCCACGGTTTGCACAAATCCCTGAGTCTTTCATTTGATATATTTAATCTTGGAAGTGATTCCAAGAGTTTTTTTCTCCTCCTCTATCAAAGCAGGGCTGTATCTTCTTCTTCCTTCAACCACTTTCTTATTTGTGCATCCATATCCTGTTCCATCTCATTCTCTTCATTGCCAACCAGTTTCACCTTATAAGAAATCTGAGTTCTAGCATGAGCAAATGTGGTTTTGGGACTGGGTTTCTCAGGTGTAGTATCTTCCCACGTTTCATCCTGCATTGGTATGTCACCCGACTGCTGAGCAGGTTCCCCTTCTTGTGTGCTTGCCTTCATGATTGTATCTTCTCCATTTTTTTGATATTTCTTCCAAGCAAATCATCCTCTTCCGTAGTTGAAACCTTTGCTTCCCCGCATAGATCACCAGGGTTGACCAGAGTTCCGTGCACACTCACTTTCTCACTCATCACACTCACTTTCTCTCTCTAGTCGCTTCATCAAATTATCAAATACACATTTTGATATGTCAGGAGCATCAAATTGTATAATTTTATTTTTTTTTAATGATTTTTGACAAAAAGAACTCTAAAATTGTGCTGTTTTGATTTTTTTTTCAAAAATTGTTAAAAAAAATTACAAAACTGTATCATTTCATGTCTATAAGATATCAAAATGCGTTAATTTTACGCAGACAAAACATCACAAAGATGTTAGAAAGCCGTTAGGAGCCTTTTCGCTGGTTATTCTTATCGTATGTACACTAAACATTATCAAAACGGAGACACCGAGAAGACCTAGAGACTGGATAAAGCCATAGAGGGGACGGTGATAATTGAATGCTTCATTCCAAATCTACGGAAAATTCATTAGAATTTTTGTTGACAATCATTTTTTTTTTTCGCTTTTGTTTTCTTAAATCCTAGTGTATCTTCAATCTCCAGGAGTCTTGCGCATCATAGAGGATAAAAACAAAGGAATCAAAGCATAAGATTCAAATGCGCATAAATTTAGCTACAATGATGTCAAAGCAGAGATAGCAATAGCACTGTCACCATCTAATATTTGCAACACTTAATAACCTTAATCACAAGCACTAGCTCAAGACAAGTGCTGGAGCCAAACATGCAAAAAAAATGGACCAAAAAAAAAACAATATTTCCTGTATGCCAGAATTCAACATGTCGAAAATTGTGATTTGACCACATTGACATGAAAGTGTTTATCATCATCAAATACATGCCTAATTAGAATTTTAAATTTCAACTTTCAGGACAAATTGCCAGCAAATTTGTCTCAGCACCCAGCAACTCAGTCCAAGTATAACTACCACTTTTTCACATCTTTCTCCTCATTCCGAGGATTGAGCTCTTCATCATCATAATATTCTTCAAAATATTCCTCTTCACTATCATTCCCATCATCATAATAATACTCGTTGTCGTCGTCGTCATCCTGACCATCCTTTCCATTTTGTAGACGATATGGGGAGTCTCTGGACTGTTGACCTCTTAACCTCTCCTGAATTCGATCCCTGATAGCCGTTCCCTGAAATAGACACAAAGGTAGCATGAAAAAGCAAATGATAAGTCAACCGATACTGTGTCTGCATGTCAAGAGTGCAATAATTTTATCTGCATAAATTAACTCACCATCTTATGGCAACCTTCTTCAAACATCTCTAAAAATCCAGCAACCCAACGATCAGCATTTTCCACCCATTCATTGCGATGCATGCCAGCAGTCTTCGCAACAATTTGTATCTGGAAGTCCATAAAGGAACATATAGATTTATCAAATCCAGGAAAGAAACTGCAAGGTACCATAAAGTATTCTGAGCTTTAAAACATGCATTAAGATGGGAAAATTGTGATCTCCATATCACCACAATTATTGCTTTATTATGACGTGCGAGGAAATATCTCCATGATTGATTTCCCTGTCTATATCATCATCAATGCTATGCAAAAGCAGAAAACTTAACTGGGTTATCATCTTTTAAAATAAGTGCAATGTGCTCCAATTTATTATTGCTGTTGCCTTGTACCCAAGTCTACATTTTAGGAAGTTTATCATCCAGCTTCATGTAGATTTCACGTCCTATAAAGCCGCTTAATAAACTGGTGACCCTAACATATCCCTTCAAAATATCTACAATATATATATATATGTAGACTATTACATATATATAATAGGCACAAAGGGACGGCCACATGACAAGAACTCCTGATCTTGCAGGTTTTCAACCCCGCCCCCCACCCAAAAAAAAAACAAAAAAACAAAAAAGAACACACGAAAAAAATAAAGCCTTTTTCTCAACCATTACATGAATCTATGATTCCTGTGTAAGATGCGGTTCAGCCAAATTTCTGGGGGCTTCCAGGTGTAGGCACAGCAGATTACAAAGAAAAGGGGTATTTTACAGCAGGAGGAAAAATTATCTCTAGGGAAACCTTATCTTGATTGCTCCTGGTTCTGGGTACAGGAAACCCTCACCAGCCTGGTGGTCAGAAGGAGGAACACCCTCTTTTTATGGTAAATAATCCTTTGAGACCATAATTCAATGCGCACAATTTGTGCCTTGAAGGCTCTGGATCCACTGTTATCCGTCTCAGATGCTAATGGGCAAATTGTCTGTATGCACAAATCTCAGAAGAAGGGTCCAATGAGCAGCTGTATAACACCAGAAATATCAGAAAGAGAGAATCCACCGCAGTTTCATGGTTTTCACTACCGATTGTAATGGCTCAGAAGAAGCTCTCAACTAAGCTTCTAGTTTCAGAGGAGGCAGAGATATCATTGCTTTAACTAGTTAGCTTAGTCCAGGCGATGGTTTTCCTCAAGTCCAAGCAGGGCTCTCAACAACTTTCCTTAAATCCTGAAGGAAGCTAATGATAGAGAAGCCTCTAGACTCCTGAAAATCTGCTATCTTTTTCAACTGCTATGCAAGAACTAATGAGAATGACATAAGTGGAGTTTTGTTTGTTTCTTTTATTTTTGGGGGGGGGGGGGGGCATGCTCGTGTCAGAGTAATTAATTGACAACATTCCAGATTAATCCTATCCAATGGTTAAGTATCTAAAATTATCATGAAATCTTGCATTAAGAGTGATAAAGCCTCTTAAGTTACCTTCAGTTCATTTACCCATCTCAGACGCCATGGGCGAATTCAGCTGTCTATGGGATGTTTTAGAAGATGATGTGACAGAAAAAAAAAAGGTCAAACAAGCAGCTTTCCAAATCTAAAAAGATCAAGCTAGAGGGAATCAAACCAAGTTTCACAGATTTCAGAGTCAACGGTTTTGGCTGTGGTGCAGCTACCACCCCACCTTCATCTTCCAGTTTGAGCAGAGGCAGTGGTATCATCACTTCAAACAAATTAGCCTAGTCCAAGGAAAGGTTTTAACAATTTCCATAAAATTTTGTAAGAAATGATGGAGAAGCCTCTAGGCTCCTGAAATCCTGCAAGGGCCATTTTTCAGCAATGGGAATGATCACCTCTATGGAAACATTAGCCCGATCATTGCTGGTTCTGGAATACAGAAATCCCTCATGTGAAGGAAAACAAACAGTTGCTTCTCAGACCAAGCAGTGGTTGAGACGAGGGACACCCTGCTTCTTGGAAGACAAAAATTGGCCCATGGAATCTGCACTGGGTAAGCAGTAGCTCTAGAGCCTGCAGGAAGCAACTGCTGAATGACTCACTGAGTTTTGGTTTCAATAAATTATTTTCCTTCAAAGAATGCTAGGGTATTTCTCATCCCAAACACCCGACCACCAGGTTGGTCTGAGAAGCAACACTTTTTCCCCCCTTATTGCACGAGGGACATGTCCCTGTCAGACCAAAACTCAGGGGGTCACGAATGAGTTACACCTTGCAGGCTCTAGAGCTACTGCTCGCCCATCTTGGATGCCTAGGCAAATTGGGTCGTCTATCACATATTTCAGAGGATATGATGCATAAGAAGAAAAAAAGAAGCCTCTAGACTTGGGCAAAACCGTCATTTTCGTTTTAGTTGTTGTGCTAGAATAAAGGAGATTGACATAATCAGGTCCCCCCCCCCCAAAAATAAAAAAAGGTGTTGCGCAAGCGAAAGGGGGATCTATTGACACCACAGTCAGAGTAATAATATTTGATGCCGTCCATCTTGTTTTATCTATAATGGCAAAAATGCACATAAAATTAACATGAAATCTCATAATAAGCAAATAAAGCCATTTAAAACCTGTCAATCTAATTTATGAGTCCTTCTCGTGTATCATCTGTCTTCACTTTTTCCATTTCAGATTTAACTTCCAATGAGTTATTTTTTCCTCTGTTTAGTCGCACTATAGATCACTTGACATTTATATAATGTACGTGTGCAATGAGCACACATTGGAAATAGCATAGGTGATTTTATGAAGGGGTTAGGAGATGACTAAGACCGTTAACCATGAAAATAGACAAGTACAGTGGATTATGCAATCCTTGTTCATCATCAATCTTCAATTAATTCAAACGATCGCTAAATATTAAGAAAAATGAGGATACACACACTAAGTTCTAACCTAGTTGAAATCGAGAAAATCCCCAAGAAGCAAGATATTCAGCTCTATAGATGATACTATGACAGCTAAAATGTATAGAGCAGAAGTAGTACCTACATAACAAGAACATCTGTAGTACCGACCACTTAGTTCAGATGCTTAACAATTATTCAAGTCATTTTCACAAACGGCATAGAACTGCTGTTTTAAGACCCAGTTGTAGAAGTATGAAATTTGAGGCCGATGTTAAAATTATGAGATTCTGGTGTGGGTGAGACCTCGGGTTCTCCAACCTTATCAACTACTGCCATAATGTGGTTCTTACAGAGCTTTTTATCAATTGGTATTAAAGCCTTCCACTGCATCCCATTTACCATCATGCTGGCATTAAAGTGTTAGCCCAAGGCTAGAAAGCCAGCAGAATGGCAGCCTTTGTAAATGCCGTGATTGAGGAAGCATGGTAAAATGTAGAGACAAATTACCAAGGGATCAAATTTCAGTCCGCCCTTGGAAGTATGGGATTCTAATGTGCACGGTTTCACAGGACCTAGAGCTCTCCAACCTCAGAGCTAGAATTTCAGGTGTAGTTCTCCATGATCCTACCATGATCCTTCACAGAAATTGTTCATGGAAGGATTCGATGCAATTGAGGAGTCAAATGAAATGGATTCCTAAAACTTCACACGAAACTTCATTTTCCTCAAAAATATAGCAGAACCAAGTGAACAATCCCTAAATTACCCTCATAAGGTCTCCATGTAATGAGTGGAACTGTATAAAAACCTATAATTATCTCACTATTAACCATCCGTAAAAATTACTATCAACTTATTCTGATGGAATGGCCTCATATCTACAATGATAATGAAAGTGATGAAGGCTGTTGAAATGGACAAAAACATGCAAAAGGAGAAATAAATCTACAACAGAGGTAAAATAGTATATATAGAGAAATAGATCACTTGATAGGAATATATCCCCCTTAAAGACATGCTTCATACTGAATTTACATAATTTTAATCATTAGACCCACACAAAACCAATCGTTTACAACTGGTGAAAGAATTTGGCCCCAATATTTGTAAGAATTCATCCCTCGGGTATATGTTAAAATTAAAAGTAGTTGGTACATAAAATTTCCACATTAAGTTTTATATAGATTAATGCAAGAAAATCAAGACAATCTTGTTGTCATTAAAATAAATATTGAATTATTATCCTAATATACCAAAGAGTTGGAAGCATAGCATATAATTAGCAAGCAAAGGTTTTAAATTGTGTTAGTCAACTTTAGGCAAGCGGGTCTCAATCTTGCATCCCTTTAAGCCGTAAATGAAGACTAAGTGGTGGATGTGGAAGTTTTAAATGCGACCACTCTACTACAGCATCAATCACTCAATTCTTTCAAGTGTCAAGCCAGGACTCGGTTGCCCAATTAGCAAAAACCGAGGGATTCTTGAAGCCAGTTCACAAATTATAATGGTGAGGGTAGATGTATGAAAAAATAATGACAAAAAAAGCTACTAACATGGCAAAAATTTGGGTCAAATAATTTTTTGACATTGACAGCATGGGAAACCTTTTTCTTACAGTAAATAACAAACACAAACTTTGCAGGATCGCTTCTCACTAGTTAAAAGGCATATATAATTAAGAACAGGCGATGACATTTGTCATATTCTAGAATTAGTAATCTGTGCTGCATCATTCTAATTCAAAATTATCACAAAGTGGGATATACAGTAAACAAATTAATCAGAAAAATGACTTGGAGCAGCATTGCACAGAAGATACCCTATGACAAGAACAGACCTATTGCTGCAAAGGAAAGAATTACAGTAAATCAGTAAGAAACTAAGCAGTACCAGGATCAACATGGTGGTAACAAGCCATCCAACTACTACAGTTAGTGCTAATATGGAACTGTAATGCACAATGCCCAAGATTGAAAGTCTTGAAATACATGAGACGTCATGAGCAAATTCTCACTTGCACCTAAGCATAGGGTCTGAAAACAAAAACTCTATCAAAATCATTCTATATTCAGTATCTGGTCTCTCAAATCAGGAAGAAATTTCAAAATTCTCAACAAGCTTTGAACAGCAAGCTTTAGGGTGCTTATTACAGTTACAACAGCAAGCAACAAGAAGCATAATGCCATCACAAATATAGGTTTTGAAACACAAAACAAGGTCAGAAGTCCACTATCCCATCATACTAACTTTTGAGTCATTTTTGTTGCAGCAATGAAACTCCTCAAACTACTACCGAAGGCATTCTCGACTTCCACTTCTACCAGATTAAAATTCGTTTTATTTTTATCCTTGATTCACTCATCCCTTGTAATTCACAGCACCTTGCCTGTGATGTAAGTGTTAATTCAAATTTTTAAAATTGAATTAGATGGTGTAACAGTAGTGATACCTTTTCACCAACTTTTTCTTGATGTTCTTTCACTTTCTCCTGTAAAGTTTTCAACCTCCTGTTTACCCTCAGTCGTTTTTCCTGTTTATAAATGACAAGATATGAATCCCTTTAAATTGCGAAGATCAATTTCAATAAGAAAGAAACAACTCAGTTTATCAGGTATATCCTATTTAAATTTACATTATAATAAGGGGGAAAATGTCAAAGTCATGCCTTCACATAGCTGACACCAAGTTCTTTCCTTGAGTATCCACGATCCAAGTTCCGTAGAACATATTGGTTGTAATCCTTAACAATCCTCATTATAATGTCCGATGTAGATATTCCTTCAGTCCGTTTAGTTTCCTTGAATTTGCCAACAGCTTTAACCTACATAAACATTTCACGGCATAATCATTTGACAGGACAACATAACAACAAAATAAAATGGCAAGCAGAAAGTATACAATCTCTACATACAAATTCATAAACATCCTTCCCAGCACCACTTGCATCAGCATAACTGTTGAAATTCATTGACAAGAGCAAAAAGTTAATATTAATGAAGTTAAAAATGCTTCAACAGGAGTTGAAGAACTAAAATACTAGATTAAATGTTGAGAGAAAGGTTATGGAAATTGTTCTTACGGAAGAGAGTCATGAGCCACATAGTCAATATTGTGCTTGTCAAGGAAATCTTGATTGATAACCCAAGGTGCATCAGGAATGACTTCATCGACCCACCTGCTCTCAATATCTATCATTAATTCCCTCAATTTACTAAGAATCACACCTTTTCTTTATGCAACAAGAACCCAAAAATAAAAATAAAATAAAAACCGAAGAAAGAAGATTTTAAAAACATTGGCAAACACATTTTCAAAAGAGAACTTCACTAAAATATTCACGTATAATAATGCTAAATCCAAAACCATACAGAAAATATGGCATACGCAGAAAATATCATACTTGCAATGCCGCAGGGATTCATATCGTTCAGCCTCTGTCATTACAGTCTTCCCTTTGTATTTGTGAGTGACTTCATCACCGCAAACTCCAACAAGCAAGTAGGTATTTGGAAATCTAAGATTTACCAATCAATATGGAAATAAAACAACTCTTAGGATAGCCCACGAAACTAAAACACAAGATTACCAAAGAAGTAAATCCATATGAATAACAACTACCTTGACCCCAACTGCACCATAAGGTAACAAAAACCAAATTGAACAAACCAGAGCTTAACATTTAGTACTACCTCTGGTCCTTAATATAAAACCTCATTTAACTTTTATTTTGGTCCTAAAAATAAGAATTCAATCCACTTTATCTCTCATATTTATTCATTTTCTCTCAAGATACTCCTTTTAGTAATATTAGTTCTAACCAATAAACTTGATTAACAAAAATATTTTAAGAAAGACAATACCCATTTATTACAAATAACTAACTTAATTTATTTCCTTAATCTACTCAAATTAGTCAAATAGCTCTTATATTTAGGACTAGAGGTAGTATATAATGTCAAGGATTCCAATTGTCAGGACATAAAACAGGAATTTATTAAATTAAAGTTGAAATCAAAATACAGATGGCGTGATTCTCCAAAGTAGCTATAGCCTTTGATACACAAACATAAAAGTAATAATCCGCCCAAAATAAGTTGTAATGTGAGAGTATACATATCATAAAAACGACCCGTAACAGTACAAAATCATGGCCACAACTGTAACAGAGAGTAAGTGGGACCTAAGATAGCTTTAGTGCTCAACATTGGGCATAAGACATGTAACGGAAATTGAATTGGCGATAAAATCAAAGTAAATAGATGGCTAATTCGAACAAGTAATGATACACACAAAGTAATACACGCAAAAAGGAACTGTAAAAATGCATCATTACTTGTCACAAAAAAAAAAAAAAAAACAAGTGCATCATCACATGAGTAAATAACAAAAATTTGACCCCAATTGACCCCAATTGCAGCAACCAAGAAGTGGGAACAATAAGGTATTTGACAGGAATCAAATTGATCTTGAAATCACAGAAAACAGACGGTACAACTCGAACATGTAACAACAACATCTGATACATGGATAGAAAATAATACACTCAAAAGGAACGGCAAAACGCATCATCATGACCAAAGGCATGAATTGCGAAGAAAAATAGAAGAATGAGGATAGGCATACGATTTCTTGGCTTGCTCAAGAGAGCGAGCGTGGCCGAAGTGGAAGAGATCGTAGATCCCATCGGCATAAACTCGAACAGGACGATCTTGAGGAGGAGGAAGAGAAGAAGACTCAGACTGATCGGAGCTGGAATGGAGAGTATTGTTGCTGTTGGTATCGTTAGGAACAGCGCCTGCCATAGAAATTGGAATCACTACGATACGATTCTCTCTCTTCCCCCTTCTCCGCTTCTTGTGATGTTTTATATGACTTCCTCTCTGTTCGCTTCCCTTTGTTTCTAGGCCGTTTCACGCGCGAGCCGACTCACCATGCGTTATTTCCGTGTGTAATTACTTTTCTCTCAATATTTGATGACTGATGATGTGAGTGATGTTGACCACATTATCATTTAATAGGCCCTCACCTTTTGTGGCCGCGTGTGTGTGGACGTCGATGTCTGCCCAGGCAAGTGCAAACATAAAATACCTCGCATGTCTTATTAATTACGTTAAAGTCTCCCGTCAAAATATTTTTTTTTTTAAAATACGAAGGCAACTCTAAGCTTAAAAGTTTGTAGTTAGGATAGAATCCTAATACTTTCACCAAAGTAGACTAAGCTTAAAAGTTTGTAGTTAGGATAGAATCCTAATCGTACCAATTTCTCCAAGAACGTACTTGAGCATCTATTCATTACAAGCAGCATATCAACAAAACCATTATATTCCTTTTCAGCCATAAAACCAGCACACCTAAAAAAATCCTTGTGTGTATGGTGTAATTCCATATGCTCATGAGTATATGACATCTCTAATCTCCATATAATACGATGCAATGGATGGTCCAAGTCACAATACCTTACAAAGATATTGAAAGCATCTAGGGAATCATTATATATCATGATGTTTTGGACATCAATTTGCTTCCAAACCAGAGTCTTGATATAATAGTCAACAGTTCAACTTTAGTAACCGAGACACCCCAAGATTATGCAAGAACCTGTAACCCCATTGCCTCTATAATCTTTGAAGACCCCGACACAGTTGCTTTTTGAAATAGCTTCACATATTCGTCTACATCAATGTGCACCATGATGATGGGTTGTGGTATCCAACGCTTCTTCATATCGCACACATCTACCCTTGAGAATTTAGTGGTGAAGCTTATTGTTCACAATACATTCCATCATATTGTAATGGCACCTATGGGCTAGCTCCTTTATTATAGTCCTTTCCCTCCAAACATGAATTGGCATCTTGTTGTCTAGATTAACCAATAAAGCAAGATGAACAATCGTGTCCATAACTATTTGGCAAATGTCCCATGAGCAAGGTTGTGACACCTCATGTTTAAATCAATTAACTTTCCTTGCGGAAGCATTTGGAATCACTTTTGAAGGCTACAATTGATGAAAAATCAAGTTCGAAAATTTTCATTTACGGGTTACTATTCATTGTCACCTTAAAATGTGACAAACTTCAAAAATTCATAACTAATTATAGAAAAATTGAAATTGAGTGATTCCAAGTTCTACAGAAAGCTCTTTGGATAAAATTTTGAGAAAAAATAGTTTCTGAACTGATTGCCTTGAAATTCAAGCTCAATTTCCTTTGAAAAATTTACTGTTCATTTGGTCATTTTCGGATTTTACTGTATTTTTGCCTAACTTTGGAAAGGCATAACTTTCTGCTCGGTTATCGGAATCGGGCAAACTACCCCTCATTTTAAATAGAAACATCAGATCTCTTTGCTTGCCAAATCTTATGACCTAACTAACTCGTTGATAGGTCAAACTGGAGCTACAAACTCACTGCTCCAGGACTTACGTTTTATCCCTTAACATCTCTTTAATTCTTTTTATTTCTTTGGCATACATGACATGGCCTTACTCTTTCCCGTTCATGCTCATACACTTTCATTCATGCCATAAATATTATAACCAAATACATGGCATCATTGGCATCCGTAACATAAATCACAAAATAGTAGAATTATACATTTATTAACAGTCTCATCCATTAACAAGAATAATTCTCCGCTTACTTCTCCTTGCTTCTCATGCCATTATTGCCCGTCATTGATTGACCTAAATGTTGGTTAGGGAGGGGTGAGATTCGGGAGAATCTCAGTAGCAAACACTACCCATAAGCATGCAAGACATAATGCACATGCATGACATGTTATAACATTAACACATGAATGCCATGGAAAGTAAGCTAAAGCATTTCATGCTTCCATAACATATTGCCAAGGCAAAACATAACATAAACTTGCAAACATAACTTTGCAAACATTTCATCATAGCTTAGTCACATCATGGCAACACAATCACATCATGCAAGCATACATATCAAGCACACAGTATAGGTAAGTTCACTACCTTGTAACATGGCTTTCCCCTTGCTTTTCCTTTGGTTTCCTTGCCTTTCCAACCATGTGGACATTCTGTCAACATCACCAAACATCCTCTTGGATGTTCCAAAGGTCCTAAACATAGTCACATTGATCATACAAACCATTAGGACCACTAATTACATAAAGTTCAAGACTAGCTTTCTTGAACCTCAACCCTTTCTCTTAGTCTTAGGGTTTTCTTTCCAACTTTTCTAACATAAATCTTATCATTTCCCATCCTTAAGATCCATTTCTTGTCAATTAGGACCACTTTAGATGGCCTTAGATTCAAGAATACCAAATCTGGAAATTTTGCTTCGCGGGTACTGTTCACGCAGAATTTCCAGAATTTTTGCTCAACTTTGAAAATTCATAATTAATTCTAGAAAACTCCAAATTGAGTGCTTCCAAGTCTCACTGAAAGATCCTTAAGTTAACTTTAAATGAAAAATAGTTTCAGGAACCAGTTCTACGCCGAACTGTACGGAACTCGAAACTCTTCCAAAAGTTCAACACTGTTTCCAGATTTCAAACCCTAACTTTGAAAAATCACCATAAATCGTACACATATCCAAATGAAGTGTTCTACCTATGGATTTAAAGCTCACAGAGTGTACTTTAAGCATGCAAAATTTCAGAATCAGATACGCACAGTAACTAATCCGAAATAGGCATAAAATCAGGTGCTATAACCACCACATACCGTGTTTTAGAGTTTGATCTGGCTTGGAACCACTTGGCCTTTCTTTCTCCCTCTTCTTTCTCTCTCTAGAAACCATTTTGCAAGAGCTTCCCCATGGATTCCTTATGCTTGGACGAAATGGTAGGGAGGGGAGGGGGTATTTATAGAAAAACAGACCGAATCTGGACCGTTGATCTTAAAAATACGTGGCTCGATCTGGACCGTCCATTTTCTCTTTTGATCTTACGGTGACAAGTGTCCTATGACATCATGCTTACCTCATCATGATGACTTCATGCTTACATCATCAAGCCACATGTCTTTAATCCGACCGCACACGTGCCTTGCATCCGACCGTACACGTGTCTTCCATCTAGCCGTACACGTAATATTTTCTTTTTCTCATCTAACCGTACACTTGTCACTTTTATGTCCTTTCATCATTTATGGCATTAAAATAGGGAGAAAATAAATGGAAATTCGTGCAAAAATATCTCCTTAATTATTTCTCCACCTATCAAGCCAATCTTGCACCATATCAGATACTTTTCGGGTCCTGACTTACCCTGTACCACCAGGACATGTTCTGACCTATTTTCTCATCTTAATTAAGTACATATATGGTGCCACCTTAGAGGAGCATAGATAAAAATAATTAGCTCTACTGACAGGCTACTTAACCTTACTGAGTCATGCAGTAGAGATTTCGCTATAATGGGTAGACAAAAGATTGTCTAAAATATTCCCATACTGCGTTCTGATTTTTATGCTGTCCATAAATATCTTCTGGTGACTCAGCATGATGACTCGTAGGTGTCATGATTACGCTTGATGACTCAGCATGATGACTCGTCGGTGTCATGATTACGCTTGATGACTCAGCATGCTGACTCAGCATCGTCATGATGGCTTTTAGATATTTTCTTTGGTTTTGTCTCCTATTTAGGGGACAAAATTATTTAATATTTGACTGGAGCATTTTATTCAGTCCAGAGCTCCAAAAATTCATCCAAAAATATCATAAAATTCCTCCTATTCTAGAGAAAATCTGTGAATTTTCTCAGGTCATAACTCAACCTATAGCCCCACTTAAAAATCATTCTTTAAAATGCCTTTTTTGGGCACAACTGGCTTTTAAGTATTCTTAAAGCCATTTTGCTTGTCTTCTAGGGATGAGACTAATTTTATAATTTTCTACAGTCTCTTAGATCATACATCCCCATTTTACCATAATTTTCTGAGGTTTCCTTATGACTCAAACAATTAAATCTACCTCTACATCTTAAATTGAGCCATAAACTTCTAAATTCCTTTTAAGTTACCTCAGGGGTATTTTCATCATCTCTCTTCACAAAAGAGTCTTAGAATATTATTTCCCATTTTCTGGGATTTTCTTAGAATTTTCTAAGTACTTTCCATTTTTACCCCTGATGGCCGTAACTTTCTGAATTTACGGTTTTACCCCTGCTTAGGCTCAACCTCATAAAACAATCTCTTTAAGGCTTCTAACTTAACCTTTGGTCTGTATCTAGCCTCTTTTCTCTTTCTGGGCCTTTGAGACTTTACTGGAGCCTCTAACTTTGATTACCCTTTAGCCCCTTAAAACATTCACTTTGCAGTTTAGTCCCTAAAACTGCTTTAACTTTCTTTCTCATCTTTAGGACCTCTACTAAAAGGGGTCTGATAGCCTATCTCATTTAGGCTATTTCTGATACTTCTAGGTCCAAAAATCAGGATGTTACAAAGGTTGTGTGTAGTGTTCCATTTAAGCCTTACCTATAAATCACCCACAAAAAAACTAGAAAGAAAGTTAGGATGTAATACAGTTTCCCATACTTCTGTCACATTTTTACAGTCTCTCACAAGGTGTATAATGCTCTCCTATTATGATACTAAAAAAGATATAAGTTTGTGTTTAAGACGCCTTTTTTAGCTTTGAATGAATTTGTAACAAGTCTCTCATTAGTTAGATGCTACATGAATAGCTTGACTTTCTCTAGTATCTGCTATTTCCAAATCTTGCTTCATAAGGTATCAACCATTACTCTACTTGAACTAATGATGAAATCATATGCTAATTTAATAATAAATCTACCATCAGCTGCACAATGGGACTTAAAAGAGATCTTGCAAGATCCTTGAGAAGGGCTTGATTTTCATCAAGACTGAAATAACCTTAGAAGGGAGAACCTGTGGCCATTCACCAAC